AACTTATGAAGAAAAAACTGAAGAAAAACAACTGAAGAAAAACTGAAGAAAAAAATTCTGAAGAAAAAAATTCTGAAGAAAAAAAGTCTGAAGAAAAATCTGAAGAAAAACAACTGAAGAAAAAAATTCTGAAGAATGAAAAAAATTCTGAAGAATAGAAAAAATTCTGAAGAAAAAAAATTCTGAAGAAAAAAATTCTGAAGAAAAAAAAATTCTGAAGAAAAAGTTCTGAAAAAAATTATTCAGCACAAAGTTTTTATTGGCTTAAATCCCATTGTTTTCCTAAAAATCAATAATGTGATTGTATCAATTTTAAACTCCCTAAAATTAGCTAAATCGGCGCTTTATGGTGATTTCGTAATATTCGTGCCCTATGACCTTTGACTCTTTACGGGTCATGCAACTCTCTCGCCGGCGCCCTCCCACCCCTCAGTCGTCCGTTTTATGGGGAATTTTCTACTTTTTCAGAGGTTTCGGGGCCTAAAAACTTAGCCTGGGTACCATCCTACTTGTATACCGGGGCTCCCACACTCGCTTCCCTAAGAAGTAGTCTGGAAACGCTTGTATCTATTTGGCTTGGTGATGATATCACATAATGAGGTAGGCCACATGGGGAGGGCTGGGCGGAGCCTCTTCCACTAGTAGATGACCCATCAGTACAAAGTCCACATGGCCATGTGCTGTTTTGGTAAGGGCAAAAAAGTTGCTGCTTATGTATGACAAGTACAGCCACAAATTTACCTTGAGTACAACAATTTCTTGTAGTTTTCTTTAAGCAAGATGTTCTTTGTGGCTCTGTTACTTCAAATGTTAGCAAAATCATGACAACAGTGTCTCTCAATGGCTACTACACTCCGTCCAAGATAAATAAACAAACCTTTCCTTGGTCAGTGATACCTGCTGAGCAGGCAGGAGATAAGCATCACCACATACTGAGAAGGACGTTAGGCTAATGAACAAGACAGGAGGGACCAATCAGCACACGCGGGCAAAATCTGACCGAGCCAGACTGTTCAGATCTAACCATTTCCAGACTACTTCTTAGGGAAGCGAGTGTGGGAGCCCCGGTATACAAGTAGGATGGTACCCAGGCTACTAAAAACTAACACCAGAGGGAAAATAAACCACATTCGTTATTTTCATGGTAAATATCGCTAAAATGGACCACGCATTTTTCTTCCGCGTTGCCGATTTTGACATAGAGAGTTACTCTCTATGTCCAAACCCCGCCACGTGCATTGCCACTCAGCGTCGGCAGGCGGCATTATTTTTGTCATTAACATAATTTATGCAATCATCTTTAGATTTGCAGTACGATCAATAAATTTGCGCCGAAAAACTTATGTAACTATACTTCCATCAATGGTATGTCACTAGATGAGACTGTTACTACATAAAGTTTCTTTTTGTATAGAACATGGATTAAAATGGCAGCAAGTCTATTGCATATCCCACAAACCGGAAAGAAGTAAACAGGTATTGCATGGCCTACAGTGGCACATTGTTGCCTTCATCCATGCATGGATAGAAGGTTTGTTTTGGTATCTATACCATTTTCGCTCAGGCGAAAATGGTAAAAATTACAGTGTTTTATAAAATTTCACTGGTATACATGTAATCTATCTAATCTGTGGCAGGCGGAACATCAACAGATATCAATTATGCAAATAATGACCTAATTTGCAAAATTAATATGAAAATTTTGTGATCCTCATTGGTGAATGATGGGAATTTTATGCCTTGTGACATGTGTAAGTTACTTAAAGGTTAACCCCACTATGCATATATTATCTGCATAGTATCATATGTTAATGCTGAGGTCATTTGCATAATTAATGAGGACATGTTGAAATGAAGCATGACAAAGGAGAGGGATTTGACACGAAAACATTGTCATTTGAATTTAGAAAACCATAAATTAAATTAAACTAGATTATGCTAATCACGACCTTGTTTCCATAGTCAATGAGACAAATAAAAAACATTTACAAAAACTCATATATTTCATGGAGGTATGTGATCTACGAATTCTTGTTCTTTTTCTGCGAGGCTGTGACTCTTCCTTAATTTATGGGAGGATTGATTAACAAAACTGGGGTGTTATAAAGGCACACATGTGCATTTCAGACCACAGACTTTAGATAGAGCACAGGAGAGACAATCAGTAAACACGTCACGCCCGGTTGTGTCGGTGTAATCATGTCAGTCGTCAAACGACCTCTTCGGGTCATGGCCCTCAGCAAAAGGCATTCTTTGCAAACATGGCGGCCGCCATCGTCGGCTGGGTAACTGAGTCTGTCCGGGAGATTTTGCAGATCTCTGGGCTGAATCTGCAGTCTTTTCTTGTCTTCTGTGCGGCCTTTATCCTGGCGTGTTTCATCTTAAAGCCCCGCAGAAACCTGCCTCCCTACCCGGCAGGACGTGTGCCTGTTCTCGGGCACCTCCTCGCCTTGGGCCGAGCGCCTCACCTCAAGCTGACGGCGTGGAGGCGGCAGTACGGGGACGTCTTCACCGTCAGGATGGGGATGGAAGATGTGGTGGTTCTGAGCGGCTACACTGCCGTCAAGGACGCGCTCGTGGACAGGTCCGAGCTGTTCGCCTCCAGGCCGGCAGTTTACCTGGCTAATACAATGCTTGGTTTTGGAAAAGGTAAGCCTATCTTCACATAATTCGAACAATAATAACTTAAGTCGACCTATAAAACTTACAACAGAAAGCTAGAACGGTCGTGAATACTTTGTTAATCATGTGACAGAAATGGTCAATGTCGTCTGGTGTCCTTTTAGCAGCATGTATTGAAGATGTGACATGTATGGTAGTGAATCACGAAGACGTGCTGTTTGTTCCTGCAGACATAGATTTTGCACGCTGGGGACCCGAGTTCAGACAGAGAAAGAAGTTTGCCACCGCCGTCCTAAAGAAACTGGGCATGAAGATCGGAACTGGCAGCATTGAGGAGAAAATCCGAGAGGAGGCGAGCTATCTCCGCAACACGGTAAGGTGAATCCAAGGATGAATAATTAATGTAAAACCCTGATCTTTTTCACTGGAATATTTGTGTGATACTAGAAGTACTGGGAGCATTCCCATGAGCAGAATGTCGTTTGGTTTCATCGCCAATCATATTTACATGTCCTTTTTTCTGTTATCACCATTTTTATGTATTGTGCACTGAGTCAATGATGACACATGTACAATACTGAGGGATGATCAATTCTAACAAAATATCATGTGGTCTCACCGTGTGTGATATGTAGAATCACAATACCCCTAACAAACTTATATGACCATTTCAATCTGGACAAATTAATCATTTTGCAAATACACAAGTACACATTTTGCAAATTCTGTTTAGATTGCAGAATACAACGAGAACCCCTCTAACATCGCTTATGACGTCACTGTGGCTTTCGCCAACGTCATCTGCTCTATGCTAATGGGGAAGCGGTATGACTACAGGGACAAGACGTTCAGGGAACTGGCAGACGCGGTTTTCGTGGCCATGGCTGAAGCTGGAGCTGGGCAGATCATAGACGTTTTCCCCTTGCTACGGTTTGTTCCTGTCGGTAGGTAGAATATCGATATTTCATTCCAATAAATAACATGGATTTGTAAGTAGCTATAGTCTTACAGGCACATTACATATTTCTATTGCTACACTTATCATATATACTTTTAGCGATAGAAATATATAATATACATGAAAGACTAGCTACTCACAAATGCATGTTAGCATTGCAATTAATGTTAAGAACAAGAATCATAGATTTACTCAGTAAGAATTAAGAATGGCAATACATTCATGTTTAAAGATAATTAAAAACGTTTGATCCAACACAAGGTATATTTTCTCACTAGAGCTTTCGACCAGTTCCTCTGGTCTTCCTCGGTAGACGGACCCAGTGACTTTAAACATGTAATTTGATCAACACAGATGAACTTTCATGATAGGACCTTACATTTGATTGTAACTGTTCCCCGTGGTACTTTACAGTGAATAGAGCCGGCATCAATGCGTTGAAGGAGTCCTCCAAGATCCAAAATGTGATAAGACAGGAGATATCTCGCCATTGCGAGAATCTGGATCGTGAGAACCCGCGAGATTTCATCGACTTCTGCCTGTTGGAGGTTGAGAAGCAGGAAAAGGTGGAGGGTCTGACGGAGGAGAACGTCATGTACATGGCCCAGAACCTCTTCTTTCAAGGAGTTCACACAACCGCCTACGCACTGATGTGGAGTCTGCTGTACATGACTTTGAACGCCGATATCCAGAATAAGGTACTGGTCAGCATCAAATGTCACCATGTGGAGATATGTCATACTCATTAGACACTGGCAAAGGTCACTTGAAATCTAAGCTTCAGTTAGTCAGGGGTGACAGAGTATACAGTGCAATTTTACGGAATACAGTGCAAGTTTACTAGTATACATTGCAATTTTACGTAATACAGTGCAATCGTATTGGTATACAGTGCAATTTTACGGAATACAGTGCAATCGTATTGGTATACAGTGCAATTTTACGGAATACAGTTCAATCGTATTAGCATACAGTGCAATTTTACGGAATACAGTGCAATTTTACTAATGACGTTGTTATGACGTAACCTGGGCCCGGTTTTCCAGGGACGCCGCTGACGGAGCGTACTCACGTCTCTCTGTGTTTTTCGAGTGAATTTGGACCGTTCTCGTAGATATACCTTTAGTTAAATCACTACATACTACACACAGGGCATGTTACTACACATAGATTATTTCAAATTCGCTCAAAAAGGGACAGAAATATGTGAGTCAGCGGCGTCCGCCATCTTGAAAATGAAAGAAGCAGGTCACGTGATTCAACGTCATTAGTAAAATTGCACTGTATTCCGTAAAATTGCACTGTATACTAGTAAAATTGCACTGTATTCTAATACGATTGTACTGTATTCCGTAAAGTTGCACTGTATACTAATACGATTGCACTGTATTCCGTAAAACTGCACTGTATACTACTAAACTTGCACTGTATTCCGTAAAATTGCAGTGTATACTCTGGCACCCCTGTTATTGTTGACTGCATGTTTCCAGTCGTTTCATTCCCCACTATGGGACCTTACAAAGTCTCATAGTTACCTCAACACAATATAACTTTTGACAGGTGCAGCAGGAGCTTGATGCCGTTGTTGGTGAGGGTCTGCCCACCCTGTCCCACCGTTCCCAGCTGCCCTACGTGAACGCCTGTCTGCTGGAGGTCATGAGGATCCGGCCCGTTGCACCTCTCGCGGCTCCCCACTTCACCACAGAGACGGTCAAAATGCGGGAATATGACGTAGCTAAGGACACTCAGGTAGCGCTATCTGTAACGTTACAAAAGTGGTCCCTATATCTAATTTTGGCCATATGACTAAGATTTATCAAGTGACGATCCCTTTCAACTGGAAGGAAAGATCTACTTAAAGCGACGGTCAAAACCCGCCGTACGTGCTTTTTGTCCGTACGTTTTTTGGGAGGCTACGTCTGCTACGTTTTTTCTGAAAACGTAGGAAAGGAGTGGCGTCGACGCACGTCACTCGCACGTCACTCGCACGGTTGCGCAAGGTGTAAGAGTATGGTCTGCACGCCACGTCTGGCCGTGAGCGGTTGCGTGCATTGTACGTTGCGCAAGTGGTAAGTGAGATGTACGTGCTTACAACGTACAATCTCTGTGCGATTGCAACTTTACCGTAAGGAGGCCGTACTCACACATGCTTCTTCTGCACGGCACGTACGGGGCACGCACGTCGCTCGTACTCGCACGCACGGGTGGTGAATCCGCAGACCGCACGTAGAAAAAAGTTTTACATGCACTTAACGTTCTACGGCGTGTCTGCGTGCTCCCAAATCCGTAGGATTCCGTACGGAGGTGGTACTCACCACGCACAGATGCTCTACGATTGCCCACGTTTTTGCACGTAGACAGCACGCAGAAGCACGTACGGCGGGTTGTGACCGTCGCTTTAACTGTCATGTTTGCAGTGTGTGTTTGGGTGTGTTTGTTTGTTTGCGTGTATGTGCATGTGAATGTTTGTGTGTGTGTTTGTGTGTGTGTGTATTTGTGTGTGTGTCTGTGTCTGTGTGTGTGTATTTGTGTGTGTATGTGTGTGTTTGTGTGTGTATGTTTGTGTGTGTGTGTTTGTGTGCGTGCGCGCGCGTATTAACGTGCTTTGATGCAGGTGCTTGTTAACCTGTACTCCCTCCACACGGACCCCGCCTACTGGCCTGATCCGGACCGGTTTGACCCCGGAAGGTTTCTGGGCGTGGAAGGGAACGTCATCAACAAGCCTGAGTCTTTCCTGCCTTTCGGAGGAGGTAATTATTATTATAATTTTTTTAGACTGGTTTATTGTTGATGAACAAATAATAATTAGTCAGATATCAGAGATATTATTGTTACAACAATAGTGATGTCAATATTCGTCGTTTGGCTTGTCTAACTTTTTTGAAATTCTTTATTTCCAGGCCGACGTGCGTGTCTTGGGGAGCAGCTGGCCAAGATGGAGCTTTTCCTGTTCTTCTCGACCCTGCTGCAGTCCTTCACCTTCAGGACGCCAGATGGCGCTCCTCCTCCAAACACTGACGGCGCCTTTGGTTCGACCTTGACCCCGCACCCGTTTGAGCTCTGTGCGATCTCGCGTTAGCTTTTATAGCCAGATGTGAGAGAAATAACGTGATTTTTAAAATCTAATATCTAATATGAAAGTTAGCCTGTGGTACCCGAGAAATAGTGGTTATATTGTCAAGCTTTAATAGACACTCATATAATACACACTTTATAATATGTGTAAACGATAAGGCAAAATTAGAACGACATTAACATATTCCTGCCAGGTTGCTTGCTCAGCAGTTCTAAAATGTCTATAACATACTTAGTCTACTGATTGTTGTGTTGAGATCTTTACTAGTACGAAAGAATTTTAGGGGGCATTCCTTTATTTAGTCTTGATAGCTTGTTTGGTAAGGTTAACTTACCTGTTTTTGTTGACAGGTGGATCTAGGTTTAGGAAAACAAAGAGGTTAACTTTTTAAGATCTTCTGACAACTGTACCTTCTTTATATTGTTTGTAGCTTTGAGTCTTTGGTGCCAGCCCGCTTAAACATAGATTAACAAGGACTGGACATAAAATCGTTCTATAGAAGAGACCATAAATTGGTGAATCACGTACCTTGAAAACATCGAACAAGCCTCTACATGAAAGATGAAACGATTTTAGTCCATATAACCAACAGATATATACTGGTAACGAGATTTAAGAGTTTGGAGTCACTTCACATGAAAGGTGTACGGCATAATACTTCATTAAACATTCAGAATGTCAGATGTGTACAGCTTTCTTCTTTCGGCAACGATAAATGCAAAGATCATGCTATAAATACGTGCGCCTGTCAGTCAGGGCAAACATTACTAGTCTACTGTCTAACACCTTAACCAATAGACTGGTGGTGGAAAAACGGCTACGTCAGTTTGCTAAAGGTTAAGAAATGACAAATAAACAACGATTGCCTGCGGGGTAAGGATCGGACATTGGACGCACCCAAGGCGTGTTTGAACTTTGCCGGACGTGTTGGCTTAACTTTTGTTAGTCTCCACCGGTACCAGGCTAACAATGTGGGCTAAAAATAGTCTTACAATGTACCAGTACTTGGAACCTTGAAAAATGGTTGTTTACTGCTGATACACCAAGCCAAGCTGACTGTCTGGCACTAGTAGGTAAAGGTGTGGACAAGCCGTGAACTGCCTATTGTTCTCCTGGGGTAGTCTGGTCCCCAACAAGGAAGGTGCTATGTCAACAAGTTAATTGGCTGCATTGTTCACTTACCCCAACAAAGTGATCAGATTTCAGTTCATAAGAAGCCAGAAGTTCACAATTTTTGTGATCTTATTTTTGCCCTAAGGTCTGCTGGAGGCTGAATCTTTCTATGGATGGTCAGTGATGGGGTAGAGGTCAAGGCAGGCAGAACTATTACTGATGTGCGCGGGGACACTGTAGCATTGGACTCCAGATAAAAATGGCTTCCGTCGTCAGGTGGATACCTGATTATGTCCGGGAGATTTTGCAAATCTCTGGGCTGACTCTGCGGTCTTTTCTCGTCTTCTGCACGGCCTTTTTCCTGACAAGTTTCCTCTTGAAGCGCCGCAGAAACCTGCCTCCCTACCCGGCAGGACGTGTGCCTGTTCTTGGGCACCTCCTCGCCTTGGGCCGAGCGCCTCACCTCAAGCTGACGGCGTGGAGGCGGCAGTACGGGGACGTCTTCACCGTCAGGATGGGGATGGAAGATGTGGTGGTTCTGAACGGCTACGCGCTCGTGGACAGGTCCGAGCTGTTCTCCTCCAGACCACCAAACTGCTTGTTTGATACCATAATGGGTTCCGGGAAAGGTAATAAAACTCCTCTGTTAGTTGTTAGCCGTTTCTAAAAAGTAAAACCAGGTATAACCAAGTATCACCTATGTTCCTTTGTCTTTAGGAATGCACGAATAAGCTGATATTTCCAAAATTGTCAGAACCCAGGACTTTGACGAACTCTTACCATTCCACCCTGTCCGTCGCTCTTATATACAATAGATGTGTTTTTGTTAATGTGTCCTCTTAACATGTCCCGAAGACGTGACGTCAAAAATCGAAAGTACTTAGGAAAGCCGAGAGGTCAAAAATCTATTAATTTCTTTGAAAGGTTATGACCTATCCATCAAAACTATTTCTTGACAATCCATCAATAGCTTCTTGAGTTATTGTAATAAACCACATATACACATACATACTCGTACATACATACAATACATACATACATACATACATACAAACATACAAACGCTGCCAAAAACATAACCTTCTAGGCAAAGGCCTGTTATAACGGCTATAGAGAAATAGGTACAGATACGTAGAAATAAGATGCCTTCTTTTTCCGCAAGACATAGTCTCTGTGCCCTGGGGTCCCGCCATCAGGCAGAGGCGTAAGTTCACCATCAGTGCCTTCAAGAACCTCGGCATGAAGGTCGGAACTGGCAGCATAGAAAAGAAAATTCAAGAGAAAGCGAGCTGTTTCTGTGACAGGGTAAGGTAATTGTGATTGCATTAACTATAACTACCCAAAACCCACAAAGTTTGGAAAAAAGGTGGGACATAGCGTCTTCCATAGTTAGCAAAAGTTAAAGAAGTTATTTTGTACCCTGTTTCAATGTTCTTTTACATGTATCCTTTTTATTTGCAATTAGCCTTCGGGCAGCAATCTGCCATAAACTTATAATTAATATTCTTTGTACTGTCAAGCCCCAGAGTAGTATAGAGTGGACATTTTGGCGAGTGACCGGATATAGCTTGTGGAGTGACCGGATGTAGCTTGTGGAGTGACCGTATATAGCTTGTGGAGTGACCGGATGTAGCTTGTGGAGTGACCGTATATAGCTTGTGGAGTGACCGGATATAGCTTGTGGAGTGACCGGATGTAGCTTGTGGAGTGACCGTATATAGCTTGTGGAGTGACCGGATATAGCTTGTGGAGTGACCGGATATAGCTTCGGTTTGTGAAGTGACGTCCCTTGATAAGCGCTTAGTGCGAAAGGTCATACAGAGGTCATTGTGGCGGATGGACGGCGGTATTATTTATTAAGGGTAGGTTGTGTATGTTTGAGTTTGATTTGACTGTGTTACTTTAGCTTTGGTTTGTTTAACAGTTTACGGTTTGTATGCTAATCAGCTTATTATTATTACTATTATCATGGTAAGTACTTGTTGGTATTATCATTGCAATTATTAACACCACTATTTTATTTTGAGCGATTGAAAACAGTTAACACCACACCAACACCATACGCGCGCACACACACACACAAACACACACACCTGTCCTTGGTGCTGAACACCATTCACACACACACATATACACACGGGCACGGCGGGACAAGAAGGAAAGACTTGGTCATATACAAGAATTTGTTTAATATCATTTCATTTTATTTTATTTCAAAATCTTTATTCACTCCTTATTTCAAATTTTCCCAAACTTGGCCCGTTTCGTTGGTGGGCAGCCCGGTGTAGACAAGGTCTCATCGGCCGGGGGCTTCAACGAGAGATCCAGTTGAATGTCTGGTTCGGTCTGGGAGTCCACGTCACTCTGTGTCGAGCTGTCGGACATTGGCTCGTCTTCGGTTTGGCTGGCGCCGTCTAGAAACCACGCCCACTGCGTTGTGCCGTCTGCTAGCCAAGAAATGAATAAATAAATGAAATAACAGGCTACGGTTAACGGGCGCCCAGCGAGTTATGTTTGTAAATGTGCATCAACTTAAATGAAATAACACTGACACAATGTGGTTGACGGAATTCTGACGTTTCTATTCTTAATGATCACAAGGACACAGATCTTTAAACCTACATTTAAGTAACATTGACAGTAACATACCTTCACAGAATTCTGAGTTGTCCCAGTACTGGATCGTCAGAGGCCCGATTGTTTCTTCAACCTGACCAACAGTCTCGGTTGAAGTCAAGCTTGGAAGGGATACTTCCATCAGGTTTTCTGGTGGGGAGGACTCTCGACTGGGCCCGACCTGGGCGCTTTCGCTGGCGGACATTGCGTCGCTATGTGTGCTTTCTTCGGAGGCGAGGCCTAGCTCACGGGTAACGATGGCATCTAACTCTTGCAGTTCTGCCTCGCCTTGAGATAAAGAGAAGAAAACACAAATATAAACATTTTGGATGGCAAGATACGAAACCTGTGTTAACCTACGTTTCGTAACGCTAAATTTGGTCAAAGCGGTACAAGAAACAAAATATAAACACCTACCGAATGCGTTAAATGGCATGCCTGTCATTGACGCGAGTTGGCATGAAAAAATCCAGCGCTGGGAGTAAAAGATCCCCTATCAATTTAAAGAACAAAAAGGATTATTAAAACGTCGGTTTATGACAAAGGGATCTGGAGGTGTTGTGCTTGAATATGTATGCATTTCCTTGTGAGAAAAAAGAAGCATCCTTTCTGGATTACCCAGAGGAATAATGTGAGCACTTACTGCTCATTGGTCAACAGGTTTTCGAGAAAACGGACAAACCAGCGGTGATTGGCCAGTACCTTTTTTGGAATTATGACGTTGTTCTGATAGGATAAAAGACTGATCATTCTGCCGCAAGACAGACCGGTCACCAAGATTTTTAACAGTATGCTAAGTATTGGAAATGTAACAAATGCGACAAGAAGTTCACACATTACGGCCATTGTAACAGACACCAGAAACAATGTACGGGTGCGACGAACTTTGTTTATCCGTAAAGACTCTTCTTCCGTTTAACATATCATCAGAGCAATTTATGGAGCTGAAGATCGGAAATCTTCTATCTTTAGGTTAGTGATCAATTCTGACAATAATCACTGTACCGCCGCCGGGGAAATAGCCGTTGAAACTCGGGAAAAAAGAGACTTGCCTAGACTAATCAGGTACGTATTACTAAGATCTCATGAAAAATTAAGTCACTTAGGTCAAAGGTCAACTCCAAGAGGATTCTTATATTCAATTCGAAAAGCAATCTTACTTTCAGAGATGAGTCTACATTCCAGCGTAGATATCACCTGATGATTTATGCAATAAATTAATATTTCGGCCACACCGTCTTAATTTTATGGATGGCATCCTCTGAAGACCCCCAAATGAGAACACGCAGACGAATAAAAAAAATTCCTGTCAAAAATAAAAATGCTACTAAACCACAAGAATACAAAGCTGGTATCGTGAATTTGCGTCAGTTCATAGCAACGACAAGCCGGCACATGCTGGCTTTTTGCGGAGTTTAAGATTCGGCACTGTACGTATGTACTGAGTTCTTGAGTCCTGGAGCTTCGGTAGCCTGGGTGCCGTCCTCCAGTTACCACTAGCACCCTATTGTCGCTAACACCATGGACTACCCAGACCAGAGCCTCGGAGGACGTGATCTTTTTTTTAGGACAGGCGAGAATCAATGCGCGTGTGGATGTCATCCATACAATTAAGTCGGTGTAGCCTTAGTGCGAAAAACAATATGCATGCAGCATTCAGATAGAAACGGCAACGTCGCTCATGGGTCAAGTTGACAATAGATGTAGGTAGTTACTTTTTTTTAAGAAATAGGAACAAAATGTAACTTTATAGAAGGTTTCTTTCTTGTTACTTTGCACTTAGAAGCAACACTACAATCATGGAACACTTAGATTCTAATTATAACAACCCTAACCCTAACCCTAAGATAGATTGTAGTATGCTATTGGGTGCGGTTGATTCAACTTTACTACTCCAAAAAAAGAACGGAAAATTGACTGCAAAATGTAGTTTTACTTTCCTGAAATGACCAATAAAATTTGCATTCTTACTTGTACATTGTACAGACACAATATCATTGAAACAAAATTTTTCAAACTTCTATGACGTACCGTTATATAATGATTGTTACCTTCGCCAAGAAGGCTAAGTTTTCCATAGCTTACGTGTGTGTGTGTGTGTGTGTGTGTGTGTGTGTGTGTGTGTGTGTGTGCGCGCGTGCGTTTGTGTGTAGTTGTGTGTTTAAACATTATTCCTAATGATAGATGACAGTCGTTCTGCATCCAAATATCACCCGTTGAAAGAAAAGAAATTGTGAAGAAAAAACTTTCGTACTCAGAGCTAGTTTTATTGTTTGCCTCTCTATTAATTATATTTCAAGAGAACAGCCTTTGCTTTGACATTGTAGTAATGCCTTTAGAAATGTGATGAAAACCGATTGCTTGTTTTGCATAGTAAGCTACTGGTATTTGTAGCTAATTTTGGCTTTTCATGTACCTCAAAAAACACCTTACGTAGTTTGTTTTGGGGTTATTTCAAACGCTTCAAGTATGAAGTGACGAAATTGTGCTTTAAAAATGGCAGTACATGTAAGTATCAATTGTATTGTTTATTACAAGTTCATGCCCGAGGGCTAATTTCAAACAGACGTTGACAAGAACGATAAGCACAGAATGTAGCGATAGAAAACTATATGCTAACATAAAGGTTCCACGTATACAATCTACTTATTTAGCATAGTACTATCTCTACTTTCTAATAATTACGTTGGCACACGGGATAAACAGGTAAAAAACATGGTAACAGCTATTCTATTCTATCATACCGTTAGTATCTGTGTAATTGATTTAGACGCATGCTTATCTAGAATACTTTTCGTATTTCCGCTCTGAAATTGTATTGGATGCCTCTAAAACTGTGTCAATTCAAAACAGGTTGGACCACATTTTTGTTACATGACGTCATAAACAGGAAGTGGCTTAAGGAAGTGGCCATTGAAAACAAGAGGTACTAACAGGCAGGCACAACGTATGTCATAAGAAAGTACATGTGTATGTGAGTACTTGCTTTCTGGAGATAGTTGGGACTTTTTTTAGCTGTCTACTTGTGACGTCTGTTGTATCGCCTTCCAGACATGGCCTGCAATGACCTCGTCAGCAGTGGTGTTACATGGGTCGTCATTGTGTTTTGTCTCATCTGTAAGTAAACATGGAAACTTCTTCCGTAGTTTTTAACTTCTGGGTGTTGAATGATTGTTATTGGGTGGTTTATCTGTGAGTTTGCGTACATGTTTGCTCCGGACACAGTATGTTGACAGGACAGTACGTTACTGGGTGGTTAGATTTAATAACAGATAAATAGGTCAGGTACTAGATATGTGGCGAACTCAACAACTTAAGCCGTATTTGTTGATTAAGAGGTCGCCGAATTTCAAGATTTTAAAACAATTGAGCTTATATGTATTCCCAAAAGACATACCTCTAACATTCGAGAAGACTTAGCGACCTGTGAATTAACCGCGGATCCCTTAAGATCCCGTAATGATCAAGAGAACATGAAAGCCATATCGCCAAAAGGACGGAAGTAAAAAAACAACAACTTCGATTTATATCATTTCGGATCGAAGAATTTTCTTCAAACTGAGGATTAACTAGACTTTCACGATCTTCTACCTTCGCCAGGCGATGTTTTTCAGAAATCTTTATGACTGCTAAAATTATTTCTAGATTATTCCCCCCTGATTGTGCAAGTAGGATCCTCATTTGGGTGAACTTCATCAGTTTATCATATTTTTCACCAGAATAGTCTTACTGGCAAAGATCTTTCTTCTTGGCGAAGGTAATAAATGTATGTACGGACTGGATGTAGCAGCAAAATCAGATTCATGTGACGTCTCCATTTGTGATTATTTGCACAAAAGACGGTCCTGATGTCCTACTATTTAACCTGTACCCAATGACCAGACAAGGTTCCGGATACCTGTTCGGGCCTAAATTGACCACTTGGGTTCGCTTACTCTTCGGACGAGATACGTTCCTGATGTTTGGCGCCGGTCGGATAATAATCTGTATCTGTATCTGTATAGCCGGTATAACCGCCTTTCAACGTAACACACCAGCTTCGCAGGCACGCGGCGCGGCGGCAGCTGGCTATATTACACCGATCGACTTGTTCCACCTAACCCTTGAACTTCTAGCTCTAGACATTGTTTAAAGCTATCTATTGACAGTGCCCCTACTGTACTTGGTGACAGTGAGTTCCACTCTGCGATAGTTCTAGGAAAGAATGAATTCTTGAACACCTCAATCCTTGGTTGATAACTCTGGTACTTGAATGCGTGGCTATTTCTTGTTCTCTTCTGAGCTGGTATTAGGTACTTAGTAGTTGGGACATCCACCAGTTTATTAGTCATTTTGTACATCATGCATAGTCTAGACATCTTTCTTCTGTCTTCAAGTGTCAACGTGTCAATAAATGTCAACGAGTAGCCCCCACCCCCCAAAAAAGTCCCAAATGTGATCAGATCGCTATTTTTTTTCTCTAGCTACATCGATAGCAAACTGGACCTACGATCCGGATCTACTGAGGACCAGTCTTACCTTACCCTGGGACGACACCGGCGTGGACAACTCCTTTGTAAAGTTCGTGGTTCAGCTGTACAGGAGCAAGGGCAGGAACTGGTAGGTACATGTAAACATATACTAGTATGACTGTGTGTCAAAGTGTGTTTTATGTGTGAATTTTATGTGTCTATGTTTTTATGTATGTGTGCGCGCGCGTGTGCGTGCGTGCGCATCGGCCTATATACGTGTGTGTGTGTATGTGTATATGTGTGTGTGTGTGTGTGTGTGTGTGTGTGTGTGTGTGTGTGTGTGTGTGTGCGTGCGTGCGTGCGTGTGTATATGTGTGTAAATGAGAGTGTGTGTGTTCGTGTTTGTGTATGTGTGTACGTGTTTGTGTGTGCATAATTATGTGTTTGTAGTAGTGGTAGCAGTACTGTAGTAGTAGAAGTTGTAGCAGTAGTAGTAGGATGGTTTATTTCACTTATATTAGAACCTCAAAACATACGTAATACGCTCTGACAACAGACTGGCAGGCAACCTTACTGAATGCCTGAATTGCTCTGTGGTCAACAAAAGATGCCATTAAAATATGCTATCAAAAGGTATTATTGTTAAAAACGTGATTGCACATTATTACACATTGCTAAAATTTATATAGTTATAAAATATTTCTCTGCTTTAGACACTACGCAGTTCTGGAGTTGTAAATGGTTTGAGAATCAATATGCATATTTAAAAACGTTACATTATGCAGTAAAAACAGTTCAGTAGAAAGTGTTGTACATTTAACAACATTAGCAACACATCACTTTTACATTGCCATTTCAGAGGACACTCCGTTCCACTATGTATTTGTAGGTTATGGGTTATTCAAGTGTGTGTAAATTAGTGTGTGTGTGTGTGTGTGTTTGTGTGTGCATGTGTGTGTGTGTGTGTGTGTGTGTGTGTGTGTGTGTGTGTGTGTGTGTGTGTGTTTGTGTATGTGGTGTATATGTGTGTGTGTGCATGTGTGTGTGTGTATCCGAGTGTGTGTTCGTGTGTATGTGTGCGTGTGTGTGTGTATGTGTAAATGAGAGAGTGTGTGTGTGTTTGTGTATGTGTGTGCGTGTTTGTGTGTGTATGTCTGTGCATACGTATGTGTGTTTGCAAATGTGTGTGTGTGAGTGTATAAGGTGTGTGTATGTGTGCGTGTGCATGTGTGCGTGTGTGTATGTGTAAATGAGAGAGTGTGTGTGTGTTTTTGTGTATGTGTGTGCGTGTTTGTGTGTATGTCTGTGCGTGTGTGTATGTGTGTGTGTGCAAATGTGTGTGTGTGTGTGTGAGTGAGTGTATGAGGTGTGTGTATGTGTGCGTGTGTATGTGAGTGTGTGTGTGTGTGCGTGTGTTCAATTTCTCAAGGGTACAGAAGTTTGGTGGCTGTCATGTGGGTTTGTGCGGTATAAACTGATTAGGGAAACATTGTAGAGGAGTTAAAATTCTCAGAATCTAGCCCAGGACCCATCAAGAATTAGTTGTTCATATAGGGGAATTCACGAAGCGAAGGACAGCATACTTTAATGAAGTCTAAAATATCTGCCCTCTTGTTACCACATGTAGCAGTGACGTGTATAGACCAGCGATGGTACAAGAACTGCCGGTATACGTGTGGAGACAGGCCACCTTCACCGGTCTGCAACCCGGAACCCTCTACTGCAGGTAGCTTCAATCTATCTGATTTTGGCGACGCCTACGGAGCGAGCCTAATGTCTTTGTATTGGATATTTTGGTTCTAAAGTTGGACCTGAATAAAGTTGACATGACGATTATAAATATATTTTATGCAAGCTAAAGGTAGCAATACACAAGAATATTCTTGATGGGGAAATGTCTGATATTCGATTTACTGCCATCTCTTAGCGCATTTTCGTCCTCACTTCACATTCAAAGTGTTTGGAGTACCCCGAAAACGAGCTACTCGAGTTCCTTTTTTTTGGTATATGAAAGAAACAGCCGTTGTTCGTAAGGTACATCGCATTTTGCCTCACAGATATTAGTATGCTACAAAATAGTGTGGATTTAACTTATGTTGGACATTAAAATAGTGACAAAGAATTATGTTTGAAGATCAAGTCTTGCAGCAACAAACACGACAACATTAGGCCATGCAGTATCAGGTTTGCCTGGCATTTACACATGTTCTCTAAAAATTATCACATTTAATCGGCAAAATAAAACCGAGAACAGAAGGACCATGAGTTACAATACATTATTACCTTCGCCAAGAAGGTTATGTTTTCAGTAGCTTGTCTCTCTCTCTCTCTGTGTGTGTGTGTGTGTGTGTGTGTGTGTGTATGTGTGTGTGTGTGTGTGTGTGTTTTGTGTGTGTGTGGTTTAGCAAGATAACCCAAGAAGCAGTGAATGGATTGGAATGAAACTTAGTAGGTGGGAAGGTCATTATGAGACCTAAAAATGGTTATATTTTGGAACACCTGGCGGCTTTCCTAGATACTGCAGCAGAACTTCCGGTATTGATATCTCGTGATCTGGACATGCTAGGGCGACGATTTTTTAATGGCAGATAGCTGTTGAAATAGGGATGAAATGACGTGAGTTTGAGTCCCCTAGCGGCTTGTTCTAGAACTGCAGGATCATTCTTTGAAAACATTTCGAAGGAGAATAACTCAAGAACCGGTTGACAGATTGTCGTGATTTTGGTATGTAGGTTGAAGTGATGCTTGACATAATCAGACGACAATTATGCAAATTTTTATAATTAATGAGGAAATTCTATAAATCTGCTTTGGTTGATATAGAACTATGAAACACTTGTGACATCTACGTGAGAACGAGAAAAAGCATCTGAGGATATAGATTATGTAAATGAGGACCTAATTTTTGGACATAATTAATGGAAACTTGTTATAATTTCATAGTTGTAAATGCTAGGAATGACATACTTGCCTCATTTGGAAGTTAAAAGAAGGTGAACATCAATAAATATAATTAATTCATTTGCATAATTTATAAGGAAGTGCTAAAATAGCCTTTTTGTTATGATAAGGCTGTCCTTGGGTGGAGAATATGATCAACTGATATAATCCATTCAAATGAGGCTCTTAGTTGCAAAATCAATGATAAAAATTGTATGATTCGTCAACCGTAAGGGTTAATATCATTTGGCGAAGGTATGAGCTCGTGGAACTCTTGTTTTATCTTTAAAGCCATCATATTCATACTAGCCAATGTAATAGTGTCCTTCTTTTTTGTGGAAAATTTAATATACATCGCGATGCTGTTCATGCAATTATCAATTGCTATCTCGGAGTCAGAAAATAGTATATTTTTTTATTGTACGAAAAAAGATACTTGACTTTCAAAACTAATGCTGAATTGTATGCATAGTAAGAACATTTTAATGTTGCATGTTTCAGAAACTGCACAATTGTGACAACACACGGGAACAAAAGTTGCGGAAGTTATACACCTATAAACACCAAGCCGAGTAATTGTAAGTTTCTAAGACCAAATCAACCAAAATTAATTCACAGGTCACGCTGTTTCTGGCAAATATTTCATATACATGTACTATATATTACACAGATATCTTATGTTCTTCATCATGTATAGGCTCTATTGTCGCTTATATTACCTACGAATAAGGAAGTATTAGGGTGCGTGAATTGTAGATACAAGACTATGTGTATATTTGTCCTTACAGAGAGGGTTGATAGCACGTGGGTGGGACAGACATAATGGCATATGGTTAAAAGGTCAGACACGGAAAATAGGGATAAGTTTTAGAGTAGGTTGCTAGCACGTGCGTTGGCCTACATAATGACAGGTCAAAAGGTCAGACACAGGAAATTAGATTGGTGAACTTGAATGTAAGTTAGCATGAAAGTTCATCTGATTTGGTAAATTACATCATGAAAAACTTAAACTGTTCTCCAACTCAAAATGTGACTCACCAGAAAGAATTTGGGTCAGATAGCTGAGGAAGACTGAGTGATTCAGTCGAAAATATCCGGTAAGTCAAATTTTGAGTTGGAGAACAGTTTAAGTTTTTTTTCATAATTGAATGTAGGTTGTCAGCACATGGGGATCAGGCTCAGGTAATGGGGTAAACTTGAATGTGAGCAACACCCAAGCTTTCCGAATGTCTGAATACCCTAATTCATGTCTGTTTTCTTATGAAAAACGTAAAGTGTTCTCCAACTCAAAATTTGACTCACCAGAAATTTTCGACTGAATCACTCAGTCTTCCTCAGCTATCTGACCCAAATGCTGTGGACACGTGATTTTTCCCACGTGTGACGTCAGCAAAGGGTCAAAGGTTGTCTGAAGTCGATATCCCCCCCGTCCCGGTTGAGCGATGGTTGAAGTGCCCTGATGTATATGGCCTCTTTTATGCCTCTCTTGAAGTAATCCTGTTCGGTATCCAAGATATCGACTTCAGACAACCTTTGACCCTTTGCTGACGTCACACGCGGGAAAAATCACGTGTCCACAGCATTTGGGTCAGATAGCTGAGGAAGACTGAGTGATTCAGTCGAAAATTTCTGGTGAGTCAAATTTTGAGTTGGAGAACAGTTTAAGTTTTTCATAATGTAATTTACCAACTCAGATGAACTTTCATGCTGATGTCTGTTTTCTGTTTTAATTTTCCACAGCTACAGATCGGACCGGAAGGTCCTTTAACTCTGTGTCAGTCACTAACACCAGCATCACAGTCACGTGGCCGTCCTTCACAGAACAGAGAGAAAGTGGGCATCTGGACATAACAGTTTTCTTCTATTACATGGTGAGATATAAGCTACTGTGGGGAAACGCATTCCGCTTTTTTTGTCGACTGAAGTAACACATTGTCAACAAAACATTGATATTGATATTGCAACAGTGGGACACAGGCAACTGTTGCTGGTGTTGTGTCCCTTACATAAAAACAAATACAGGACAGACAATAATAATTTTCACTTGAGTTAGGGAAATTCGTGTAAAGTGACTTTTTCCAGGGGCACAAAATTGATGGCATGTCAGGACTCGAACCCGACTTGAGCACTCTGCCGTCACGTCACGCGACCCCACTTAAGATATTAGAGAAAAGCTTTACCATGGAGCTTTCCAATTATTATAGATCCATGCATTTATTACATTACCATCCTTTCTGGATTTTTTCTTTGTTTCAGCTGGACATCATGCCAGTTGAGGCTGAAACAAAACGTCCACAGATGTTTTACAACGAGACTGAATTAGAGGCAACTTTTGATGCTCTTACTCCGGGAAAGGAATATGAGGTTGGTGCAATCAATGACTGTTAGTCCCCTTTCCAGGTAAACTCACGTTAGAGCAAAGGTTACCATTTCCCAGGCGCAGAAGGCCCATATTGAGTACCTTTGGTAAGTGCATTCAAAGTAAATCAAAAATTAAAACGGCCTTTTACTCGGTATGTGTGGATAAATGCTGACATTTTCTAGCTGTAAAGTATTGTATTTTCTTCCTCGTGGAGCTCTAAAGTTATGTCATGTTGTTGTATTTTGGTGTACAGGAGGTCAGAGGTCATGCTCTCAGTGTTTCCATGTATCGCACTTTTTTCGATGATTATCATGTCATATCCTTTTATTCCTGCACTTACAGAAAAACGAGAGGTTGAATTCATATCACAAAAGTTAATTTCTTTTGTATCTGTTAACTGTTAACTGTATCCGTTCATCTTGTTTTGGTGTGCAATGAAGGTCATTCATTCATTAAAAAATTGAAATTTTTGTTCTAAATGGACAATTTGAAGGTTGGACTACCCTGCCAAATGTGAGTTTGCAACAGTTGAACACTCACAGCTCAGTTCTTAAATGTTCACAATATATTCCAATGGTGGTCTGTGGCCTTAGATCTCGCGTGAACAAAGCCAATCATCATTATTATGGTCATCATCTGTCGACCCCTAGGGACAGGGTACGCCGCTGTACCTCTCCTGCCCACATCACCCGGTCTGCAATGCCTGACCAAGTCAAACTTGACCAGATCGCTATGGTGCAGAAAGATGTTGAGAGCTTTTAAGAAGGTTCACAAATGCAACTGAGCATGCCCAGTGTCAAAGATAGAGACCACCGAAAACACATTAGGTCATGCTTATTCATGTCCAGACATTTTATTTACTTCGGAATCGGGGAGGCCTGAACTTCACACTATCCCTACGCAGAATTTTTTTTGTCTGGTTTCAGATTGAGTTGACAACAGCTGGAAACTCGCCTTCGCTGGTCCACAGGCTCGCCCCTTTTTATTGGAGGATGTTAACAGTCGACATAGTTTCTACTGGTGAGTAGGGTATTAGCGTTTGCTCTCGGGCACTATAATTTTAATAATGGCCTGCCATAAATTATGTTTGAGGCCGCAGAACACATTTTTCTAAACCGGGACGGGGGGTGATATGGACTTCTAGCAAACTTTGAGCCCCGCTGACGCATGCGTAAAGTCACAATTCCTGAGTGATTTGGTCAGATTGCTATAAAAGACTAATTCAAAAGTTTGAACATTTTAAATTTTAGAACAGTTTGACTTTACTCAGATACACATTTAGCTTTAGCATTTAGCTTAGCTACCGTCAAGTGGTCCATTACATAATACAATACAACAATACAAAAAAAAATTACTGGCACACAATAACATTGACACATGATAGTTAAACACAGATAGTTCACGTTATAATACTGCCCCCCCCCCTTCACCTGTCTGGGAACTAAAGAGAATGTACAGTTCTAATTTTCCATTTTTCCCCTAACAGCTCCTTCTCCCGTGGAAGAAGTGTCCGTCATAACCACGGATTCGACATCCGTAACGTTCAACCTGACACCACCAAAGGAAGGGTTTGTAGACCTGTTTCAGATACAGGCAACGTCCCCGCATCACACAAGGTACAAGGCACCTGTCCAACTTAAAGATATCTTACATCATTTAGTTCTGTCTAATTAGGCCACACCGACTTTTTTTGGAGGACATCCACGCGCGCATTGACTTTCGCCTGTTCTCAAAAAAAAAAAAAGATCACGTCTGGCCTGGCTATAGGCTTGGCTCTAGGACTGGGTAGTCCATAGTAGATAGCGACATTACGGAGCCTGTAGTAACTCTGGAGGATGGCACCAAAGCTTCACGACTCAATAACTCAGTACATATAGGTACACTGCCGATTCATAAATTCCGCAAATACGTCTACGTCTCTATGTCGTATACGTCTCTATGTACTGTTGCAAATTCACAATACCAGCTTTGTATTCCTGTGGTTTAGCTGAATTTTTATTTTTGGCCGAATTTTTTTTTAATTCGCCCGCGCGCACTATTTTGGGGGTCTTCAGAGGATGTCATCCAAAAAATTTAGTCGATGTGGCCTTTACGGCATTGGCCTGTTTGACGAACCTAAAGCAATGCAACATTGATTTAATAGTTACACGATCTCTCTCTGTCCCATTGAGCCTCCTTCCAGAGAGTTCCTTTTTTGGTCCATCACCTCTGCCAGTGTTTTAATCAAGAATACCATTCCTATTTCAATGCCAATATATAGGAGCTCTAACATTGTTTAACATTGTTGTATTGAATCGTTATAGCTGATTTTATATTGTTTAAATGTAAACAATAACCACAATTCAGCCGAAGGGCTGCTATGGTATTGTATTTGTATTTGTATTTGTATTTGTGTGGAAATAAACCAGTCATATAGCCTTGTATACAGTCAATCATAGTTGGGACAGGCTGTGTCTTCGGGGCACCTAATCAATCTCCCATCGTCAAACACCTACCGGGAAACCTCGCTGAAACAGGCTGGGAAGAACTCCTGCAGGAAAACCCGCCCCAATAACGATAAGATTAGATGTCAGGCTATATGAGCTCATGATTTTTGATATGAATCGAGAACAGCTGTTTACTTATTTATATAACGGTTGTTACGTACTGTGCAATTCTACCCTGACAGGAGCTTCTGGAAAACTGTACCATTTTAAAAGGTCAATAAATCTTCCATATTTTCTGAACGTCTAAATAGAAATCTCAGATTTCTTCTTTTCTAAATATTGTCATCTGTTACAAGCCTCAAAACCCTGTGTTCCAGCCCTCTTGTAGACGTACCGTTTCCAGACGAGACCCTGGCAAGTGTTGGAGCTACTCTGTCCAACCTGCAGCCTGAGACGACGTACAACCTTTCCGCCACGGCAGTCGCCAAAGGCAGGACGGGCCAGGCTAGGGTTGTAACCTTCACGACAGGTACGATGGCAGCAGAAAGAAAAATATCTAGGTAGATTCAGGGTAATAAGCATCAAACTAGAAACACGGTATCAAATTTCTCAGGCAGTGTCCAATATTGTATTCAAATGGTTAGGAGCAATCTCAAAGCAGATCTTTTGATGACTGCAAATACAGTATCAAATTGTCAATGCAGTATCCACGTGCCTAAAAGTATCTGGTGGCGGTATTGCATACGGCCTGGCCAATTTGATACTCTCTTTGCAGCCTAAAAAGAAGATCTGCTTGGAGATTACTCTTGACCATTTGAATATGGTATTGGACATTGCCGGGCCAATTCTATACCGTCTTGCTAGTTTGATGCTGGATCGCATCCATTGAAACCTACTTGGAGATTACTACAGACTTTTATGTAAATCAATTATAATCATCTTACACATCGGTGCGTCGTTTTTTGGAGAATGACAATCAGCAAGGTGTCTGTATGATTTTTTTTTAATTAATATTTTCACGAAACGTTTTAACTTTTCTTCATCAACCAGGTACTAAACTAATTAATTTATTCTTTGTCTTTCAGAGGCTGTCCCCGTTGATCCAAGACTCGTTGGTTCCGTCACAACCGCTCTCGTAGTTACCCTGATAGCAGCAGCCTTCTGTACCGTGTGGATAGTCAGGCGGCGCAAGTACAAGTTAGACCCGGCACAGCTATTCAAGGAGGTTCTTGAGGTACCGAAACTAGCAATTGATGTTTTAACTTCCAGATGCTAAAGTTTTGTTCTGGGTGGCTGATCTGGTAGTTTTCTACCTGTATCTGTTTTTGAAGAATAGGTAAACAACACGTGGGTGAGGGGGCATTAAGAATGACAGGTAGTGCAAAGGATCAGACACAAGAAATGGGGCTGGAGGCCAACAAAATTGGTGGTCGGTATAGCGGAATTCAGAAGGCAGAAATGCAGAAACCTTTGCCGGATTTTTGTCTACTACGTATTGGCAGAGTTACTCTTAGACTAATAATTAGTTGCGACATTAAAAAGAAACTTGGTGTTTAAAATTCATTTCCGATATCGATTTTAATGTTATATAGAAGACAAAGGAAACCGCCAAATTCCGAACCTTAGTATTCAAGCAGTAGGCTTTCAAAACATCAGACGTTTTATCTTTGTGCATAAAATATGTCATTTCTAAATTGTTGTTATTTCTGACTGTAAGCAGAATTGTTATTGTCGGTTGTTTACAAGGATATCGTCGGTTCTGAGAAGATGGAGCCATGGCTGAAGAACAGAAAGGACCTGTTTCTTGAGGAACTGATCGGAGAGGGGGAATTCGGTCACGTGAGGAAGGGCGTGTTGAGGGAAGATGGACAACAGGCCGTCATTGTAGCTGCCAAGACGCTCAGGCAAGTTACACCTTTAACATTTCCCATCCTCGTCTGTAGGGTCAGGGACTACGGTAAAGTATCAGCACAAGCTTCCTCCATCCTTTTCTGTCTGCAGCCGTCTGCGTACAGTCTGCTACACTGACCTGACTGTCCAGTCCCGATGCCGTCTCCCCATGTCCTGAGCATCCTCCCAAGCCAGGGGTGCTTCCTTACGAGTTCGGAGCACCCCTGGCAAACGGCCCATTTCAAACCACTCCAACGGGCTGACAAGCTTCAGCCAATCAGAGGCATAGCTTTCGGTAGTGGAAAGCTGGTCAAAGGTCGCTGGGAAGCTGTAAGCCAATCACATCACGGCTTACATCGCTTCTTTGGGTTCACTGAAAACATCATGTCGGGTATTTTCGGGGCCAGCCGTGTAAGAATTGTTTGAATCGGCATCGTCAACACCAGCAGCGCACGGTACAGACACTGCTTCACAACAGAGACGTCTTCCTTAGTGTAAGGATAGGTGGGGGAAAGGTCTGTGTTGTATTTTAGCCGGCGAAACAGGCAACCCAGAAATGCTTACATGTCCGCCATGTTGAATTTAGGTAATCTGGGCACTGATTGGTTTGCGCCAAAAAGGGCAAGCTCATGAATATTTATAAACCAGGCCCTGCAGAGGACGAATCTGGGGATCATGGGGCAGAGCTAATCCCAAGGCGTACAGTATTTGCCGCGGGGTAGCTCTGCCGTGGGAGAATGGTCCTTAGCGGCCTTCCTCTATTTCTTGTACCACAAATCTTTTATTAAACTGAAGGATGTGGGTTGTGATGTTCTGGGCTCTCATAAAATATTGGAGTTTCCCTCTACTAAGAAGTGCTCTTTATGTCCCTATCTGTTCCAGAACTGACATGTTGGTGCAATGTTGATGCGGTGTCCGTCTAGTTTACTCTCAGTAGCTTCCTTAAAGAGGAAGCTTGTACTATAAAATGACCTGACCCTTCCACCATAAAAGGCGTAACATAAACAACCGGGGTTCAGTCTGACATAAACCTTCGTGGTGTTCACATCGGGGAGAGAGCTCCCGGTGTAATGAGTGTTTCAAAACCACGTTACACGCTGATATAACAACTCTAGTGGTCTTTGTGTGATGGATATGTGTCAACTTCAAACTGCAGACGTCACTACAAAAAAATCAAGAACGTAGCGGCAGCCGAACGTTACGGGACAGCTTTCCCCGGCCCGCGGTGCAGTCCCGCACGGCGAAATGTGCCGCGGCCACCGAGTAATAGCCAGTACCGCTCCGGCAAGTCAGATGCCCGCCTATAATGCATTGTACTGGGGGTTTCAAACATATATCGAATAGATGCGTGACACTATGCTACGGAACATTGAACAAACCTCCTGAAGCCTTGAAGTAATTGCCAATATGTTACCGACATATGACGGGAAAATATAGCCGCTAAATTCGAAGATTTTTGAGCCACCGTTACGGGAGACCGTTACTTTCGGCACGGCACTCCCCCTGTCCCGAAAGCCGCATGCACATCATCACCCTACACCGTCCGTGCGATCGCGATGTTTGTAGTCTATAATCTGTACTCCCTAGTTTGCAAAGGAGCATGGAAGCGCGCCATGGAAGCAGTTATTCCGCCAACGAAGTAAAAGTCTAATGCTACTATTATATATAAAAGCAGCTGTCTAATCTAGGATCAGATTCAAAACTTGCTCCTACAAGTGAAATGCACCACAGTGCAACGAAGTTACTGGATCTTATTGGGATTTTCCTTCGTCAACTTTCACATCAAGGATTGTTTTTCTTTACGTTCGTAATCTGTAGGCTTGTCAGAGGTAGAAATGGGTACTTATGGCCCTGAGGCAGCCAAAAATGTGAATACAACGACTTACTTTTCAAAATTCCTGTCCTCAACCGTATATGCAAATTATGTTTACGGTTCGAAGGTCGTAACCTTTGACCGATCTAACACGTTCTTCTGTTTACATCACACTGCACCGGGCCTCCTACATAACGCCTCGTTGACAAAAACGAAAAATTGGACGTAGAGAATCTATAGCGTGCACTGTACGAAATCACTCACCTCAACGCTCCTTTCAACATTTCCAATCAGGCTACGCAGCAGAGTTCTTACCTTTGTTGCTCTGTCAGTGCGTGAAACACGACTGGAGGACAGTATCATGAATCCTATCGTTATCATCAAGTTTATGTTTAGATCAGTAAATATTGTCCAATAAAATATGCTTCTGTTCACTACAACAATTACTTTCAAGAATACTTTTGTAAAGTCACAAGGAAAAACCGAATAAAATGAGACATTACGTTCATACGATACAGCTCTTTGTCGGAAGTGGTGGCCCTGAAAAGGGCCGGAGGGTATATTACAGTATGTCACATGGGTTCACGCGGGTTCGGGAATTTGCCGCGCACCAACTTCAACACACACTTTCATCATCTCCCGGACGGTATCCCTGCCAAAGATGACCAGTCGTCTTGCGGCGGGTTCCCGGGTTGCGTCTTGAGCCAGCTTCTCTTCTTTCCTTCTCAGATAACGGTCATAGGGCCAGGGGCTGGGCGACCTGTTGGTCATTGTTGCCCAGAACATCTTGTATTTCTCATTCCTCTGGGGTAGCTTCTGGGGTTGGTTCTGGTTGATCCTCGAAATGTGGCACACTGCTGACTTCGACCATGTCACCGTCTCCAAAGTCAAAGTGCTCAATAAAGGCCCGAATGTACTCCTCGCCGTCAGGAGTTACACAAAACGTGATGTCTTCTGCCCGCCATTTTTCTGACACTGCATTGTACAATGCTTAGGAAATTCTGGCGGGAACTTACAGGAAGTCAATGACATCTCTTCCGCTAGCTTGACCTCTTTCGATTGAGGTGTTATACTTGTCACCAGGATGGTCTTATGAACAATACTTTACTATTGGAGAGGTCAAACTAATAGACACTTTTTACAGATGTTATACAGAAACATCGATGTTATTGTACAAAAGTGTATTTACCCCTTTGATTATCGACAATATATGATACACTTTACCGATAATCATTTTCAGTTTTTGATTTTTTACTAAGAAAAAAATTCCCATCATCCCTAGACTAATTGCTATAAAAAAGGGAAAGGCGCCAATTTTGATCTCCACTCCTGACAAGCTTTCATACGGGTGGGTCGACGTTTTTGAAGCGCGTTTTTCTTCACTAGTATGGATGAAGGTGGTCTGCCGCCGAGGCCACCTCTCGCGCCCGTCGATGGTAATACCCCGTTGTCACGAAAAAAAAAGCTGAAGAGCGGCAATATTTCGCAAACGTCGAGAAATGTAAGGAAAACCCTGGAATGTCTATTCCCAGGAACGCGGGAATCTGCGGAGGCGGAGAGGGAAGACATGGCGCGCAAAATAAGCCGGGTGAAGATGCTGATGGGCGACGCGGACGGGACGACGACCAAGGACATGATGACCGCCCTCCTGGACCACTACCTTTACAGCAAAGAACAGTCCGCGTCGTCCAGCACCACCCCGAGACCCACCATCCCACAGTATCAGGTCTGCCCCGTGGAGAGGGAAGGACAGCAGCTCTGTGTTCTCGCCGAGGACTCACTGAAGCACTTGTTGGCCACCATCCACCAACACGGAGAGCGGTGCCTGGCGCGGGAGGAGCTGACCATGAGGAGTCTTACTCTAAGAGGTCATGTCGCCATCACAACCTTCCGATGTAGAGCCGGGTGCCAGTACCAGTGGACGTCGTCACCGCACGTCGGCATACCATTTTTAGTCAACTTGAGGTAAGTGAGAAATCCCCATTTCTAAATATAACAAGTTAATATATTTATTGGCGGGAAAGGGAATTTTGCATCACATCAGACGTACGGGGATAAAATATGAAAGATAAATTTATTATCTGGAGGGTCACCATTTGCACATAGCTACGTCATTTGAATGTTTTTGTTTGTAAAGATGAACAAGGAATCCTGCAGGGTTGGACAGGGTGAGTAAAGTAACACGATGTTGTTTTCTGGCTAGCAGTTCCAAGCATCGCAAAGGATGATGGTAATGGACTAGACCATTTGGAGTTGGGGGTCTTTCCATATACGTGATGCTGTTTCATATTAGACATACCCATACATAAACATGCCCCAATCTAGTCCATGTCTTAGTGAACGTAATCGGTGATTTCACTGCAATTGTATCGATATTCTGGAATGACAAAGTGATAAGCTATAGGGAATGATTTCCAAACAGAGTAAATTTGCAGGGTATACTCGTAGTATCATACATGTACTTCCAATGCAATTCTATTAAAAATTCAATGAAAATCAATGAAAGAAATAAAGTTTTTAGTGTTGTTCTTTAGCAACGTACTTTTGTTTCAATGCACCTGCCAGTTGTTGAAAATTTCATTAGTAAGGGATGTATATCTTTCCTATTACAGGCTGGCACATGGGTACATGTCCAGTGGCATTTTGCCCAATCAGTATGCCAGGGTATGTTCTGCTGCTGGGATTGGACAGATCTCAGATGAAAAGATGAAGAAGTGTAAGGATATTATTTGCCTCTTCCTTGTCACTACACTGTATCTATGTATCATTATTTTCAAACAGTTATATACAGGAAGGTCCTTGATACTACACAGTTGCACAGCAAGCGAACATCTAAAGGAATACCATTTATCATAAATGTGCAGGATTAGTCTAACAAATCCACTCAACATGCTCTTGAGTGTAAAATAGTACCAATAACTAATACATAAAAAATCATGGCACAAGTCTACTGATGATATTGAATGGCACAGGACTACTACATATACAACAGAAAAAATTGAATTGTTGAATCTTACATTAATTTTTTTATCTACTTACATCTGTATGGTTTTTATTAACTGGTATTACAATATAAAGATAATAATGGTATTTTGTAGATCAAATCACAAAAGCACCCATTTGATGTTATGGAAACATTTTTGATGCCCCTTACTCTCTCCCTTTACAGCTATGATACTCTACAGTGAGGTGGTAGACGGA